GTTGCGCAACTCGCGGCACCGGTGCATAGATGCCAGCTGCAGCAATTTTCAAGACCCGACATTGTGGGTTTGCGAATACAGCCATTGCCGGGTTGGCTGTCTGTCATTGTGGCGGCTGGCTTGAAGCGTAGCCTCTCGCCCTACATGACGCCAGGGCTACATTGTCAGGAGTTGTCGGGAGTTACCTAGGCAATGTAGGTAATGTACCTAGGTAGGTACCTGATTAGGCGGTAGAGGTGGTCGAGCTGATGCACGTCTTTCCCATTCGAGGTTGAAATCAACATTGCTATATGGTGTGATGGAGGTGACGGAGGTGATGGAGGGGTTTGGCAGTTAGGACGATGGCCCATTTGAGAAATCACAAATCACATTTGCAATTCCAGGAGATAGAGGAGGGAACGGACGGACATGGATCAGTCTCTCAGCTACCTAGGTAGTAGGTGTACCTGCATACCGGCGTGTCGGGTCGCTTCTCCGGAGGTACAGGGTACCTACTTGGGTACATGGCACAGATAGACATCAGCCAGAGTCTGTGCATCCCGTCTGTGCTTGATCATCCACGGACGATGTCTTGCAGCACGGGGTGGCTGAGCATGGCACAACTCGATCTTTAGTTACTCCTACTATTAATACTTTCTTTATAATACTTGGAACTATTACTGCATTTGGAATGCAAGATATGCCTTTCCACTCTTATGAAAGATGTACCGAAATAGGTATTTATATCTGCACCCAATGGATATCCAGGTGACATCGATCGCTATAGGCTCGCCAAAGGTACAGTTGTTGCTGCAACTCAACTCCAATTGCTAATATTATAAAGGCGTACTGTATGTACCCATGTGCCTAGCGTCAGCAATCGTGGATGGAGAACGTGGCTGTGACAGGGATGCAAGCCTTTTTTTCCCTCCCCTACTCTCACGTATAGTACATCCATCTACCTCACTACATAGCACCAACCCCAAATCTTAGATCGTGTAGATCGCACGAAGAGATTCTGAAACAGCTATCCGAGTTGCGTTCCTGACTAGGTAGTAATTAAAGCCCTGTCTAGTCGAATTCCGACAGAATGGTTTAGGCTCTTCAAGCTTGCTGGTGTTTCGAAACCCGTTGGAACTACAGTATCTTCCAACATGACAACTCGGAATCATCCGTCGTCTAACAGCTTGCTAGGTCGTTTGTCAATCCTATGTAATTCCAACTTGCATAGGAGACGCTTAGCCTTGGGTAGGTTAGGCAGGCAGCTAAAATGATCGTCGTAAGTCCCGGTCCCTTAAAATGCAAGTAGGTGGTAGTTAATAGCTGTAAGGCGGCCGTCGGGAGCCGCAGCTCCTTGCGAATGACTGCCTCGGTATTTTCTAAATTGCGCAGCATGAGAGAAGAGTTACCTCGCGAGATACCCTTTACGCCAATGCGGTCCTGTGGCGCGGAGTACATAGTACGCAGGTACGGATTTCCCTTCCATAACAGGGGTTGATGCCCGTCGAGATGCGTCAAAGCTGCGAAACCGCCCCCACGAGGTGCTGTCGACATACAGTAGGTAAGCAGGTAGCCGTCAGGATCGGGAATTGTTGACTCTCGGGTATCAATCGTTCTGCATAAGGTTATGTTACAGTCTGACCACTAGCTACTACACAATACCTGACCTATTATACCTATATATATACCTACATTCACACACATACATACCTTAGGTACCTGTTCGTGGTATACCGGTATATGCTGCTGTAGGTAGGGTACTTAGCACTTCTCAGCCGTAGTTAAAATAGTCGGCCAAGGTAAGCTTGAGTAACCATAAGCGCGCATCCGTACGTATACGTATATGTAGAATCATATGTCGTGTCGCCGTGACACACGTGTTGCCCATTTCGAGTATTGCCTTCACCTAATTTCATCCTCCTACCTAAATCAGAGAGGCGTAGGCTTACCTTGAACTGACAGTGATTCAGAAACTCGCTGTTAGAATCCTTAGCAGCGCTTCTTCTAGTAACTCGTCAACTCGGACGTTTCATGAGGAAAATTTTCCATCAGGGTGACATGTCAAAAGCCACTTACACTGGCACTGGATAGAATTAGGTCTAGAAACTAGAGACCCTTAAGACTGGGGATGTTATTTGTGGGGTCGGCAACGAGGTGACGAATAGTAAATCGGAAAGGGGTTCATCCAATGGCATCCCCTGTTAGAGAAAAAAAAAAAGCCATGCAGCCGCGGTATCAATTGCTCTGCTTCGCAAAGCCGGTTTTAGCTCTCTTGCCTGCCAGAGTAAAGAGAAAATTCTTGGAAAAGGATTGCTCAAAAGCTGCCGGTATTCTATTTACGCCACAGCACCCCAGAGCCCAGAATGCAACGTTCGCAGGACAGGTTACTTGCCGGAAATAGTATCAGCGCTGATCCTTCTCTCGCCCTTTACCCAGGTAGGCATGCGTGCGGCAGGATATAAATAGGCAACTCGTCGCCGGTGTGCGCTGTGGCGTCACGAGTTTCAACGCGCCGGATGTGTACTGTTCGACCTGCCGTCCGAGTGCTAAGTTAATCCTGAGTGTCCCCCAAGGCGTATACAACGTAGTAAGGGAAAAAAAAAAAAAGATATATCTTCAAAGGCGCAGCCACTGCCGCTCCGTGCCAAGGTGAAGCAACCTACCACGTCGAGAGATCTGACACAAGGATTCGAGCTGCAGATAGACTAGTCCACGACCTCAACGACGATGCGTGGAGTGGCGGACGGCAGCCGCTAGCTCCGGGGCCATGTCTTCGATGTGTCGCAAGGCTCCCCCGGGTCCCGACCACCACGTCACGTCACGCGATTTTGCCGCACTTGGCTGGCGATGGCTTTTACTGTCGTCAAACGTGTATCCGTCTTCCTCACGACACTTTGCAGTTTGTCGTCTGACCTCGCAGCACCTCTACCATCCGAGTCTGAAACTGCCCACGAGAGGATCTGAAGGAGTGTGTGAATAGCAGAGAAGGAGGTAGACCTAAGTAACGTTGATTTTCCTAGATCGTGGTCATCGAGGCTTAGCATCGTCGATGTGGAATCAAAGCTGCAAGGCATCTGTCGATGCAAAACAAGGCATATTTTGACGATCTAGGTCATCGGATTCGGATTCGTTGTCTTACCCATAGCTAAGGGGGCACGGGGCATGGGGTAATCACATATACCTACCTAAGGTATGCACTGATACATGCAATGATACGCGCCCAATTCCATGACTTGCATGCTCGTGTTATACTGCTACCTTCATCCGCTGCATCGTATGGGTGCAGGAGTTAGCGAGACACCAAGTAGTCCAATTGGAGTGATACCCGTTACCCGCCTTGGATTGGAATATATGTATAAACAAAATGTATAGGTAATGGGTCGTGCATTTGTATTTTAGCAGCAGCAGCCGTAGTTTGATATAGACCTGGGCCCGGACAGGTTCCTCGTCAATCTAGATACTATATCTTGCAATTAACTCGTATAATTATAATATTCAATACTACCATGCAAGGTATGTAGTTCACGGTCGTTCGTCGTAGGGCTGAGTTGGAATGCGACAATGCCTTGGGGGCCTTGCAATTGGTAGAATATGCAACCTGTGATGTGTCTGCATTTTTGTTTTCTACGGTTATAGTGTTATCGATTAAGAACCGTTTACAGACGAGTTCCGCTCTCATATAGTCATAGTCATATCTGCGTTAAACTCCTAACCCCTAAGTTGCCGACGTAGTGCCCTGTCCGCGATAAAACAACTTTCCCCCTTTACCTTGTATAGCCTCGTTCTCGTGCGTATGATCCTTCCACATCCACCCGGGAATTGAAATCTCTTTTTCTCCCAACTCCCAACTCCCAACGGAGCATTCCCCGGCTGTTACCAGCACCGTCACAATCGTCCTTCTGTAACATGGTGCCTCCCTTTCACGTATCTTGACGCAATGGTCCAACGACCAGGGTTCACTGTCGCGTCGCACAAGAACAGCCACCTCATTTTCACTTAGGCGGATTCCTAACCCGCGTCTACGGTACGATTCTGAGACTTGCAATACTGGGTCCTCGAAAATTATGGATTGAGCCATGCAGCAAGCCGTCCCGGAGTTCCAGTTAGTGATCGGGCCCGAGATCAAGGTCTGGAGTATGGGAGGGCGGGAACCGACCTCACCCAAGAAAAGCGTGAAGGGGGGTTGCAAAAGAAGCCAGCTATGGCCGCTGTCCGAGACTACAAGCCTCGTGCGGCAACCCACTATCCTTGTGGTTCTGTCGCCCTTGATTCCAGAGTCTCTAGACGAGCATATCCCGACGCACCTATCCAATGGCCAAGAAGTGGGCTGTTTGATATGTCGAACCTCTCTCTTGGCGCAGTTCTAGGTGCTCGAGACCAACTATCAGGAAGTTGATATCTGCTATGATCATGGTTCATGTTGGATTTGACTCTATTCTTCGAATACATTACACGACGGGCTTCGGCCCACTTCGACGTCAGTCTGCAAGGCGAATCCTTGGCCTCTATCGTACGTTTCTGTCGCGTCGAGACCTCGTCAACTATTTACCAACAGCGCCTCATGGAACCTGCCGATTGGGCAAACTTGGAGCCAGCGCAAACGCCGGTCACGACGGTTACGCTACAGGTAAAATGTAGATTGTGACTGATCGCCATTTTATCCCCCCCTGGTCTACCCACCACACATGGGTTACCCTCACAGCAACGCATCCGCATCTCCCTCATTCAGCAGCCTACCAGGTACGTAAATGCCCAAGACTTCAACGGTGCAGCGGAAATAGCGCAAGCCACATTGCAAATCTGCCTCGCGAGCCCCTCCTCTGAAGATGGGATCGGTTCCGTAAGGTCTAATTGAATCGGCGACTGTGAGGTTCTCGGTGCCGGTTAGAGTTCACCAAACCGATTGTGCCCCTTTATACAATGCTCGAGCCTCTTAACTCTCAGAGGAGCTGGCTCGGCAAGCCATATAAGCCATAACAAACTAAGGACCGTTATACACTATCAGCTTCTTCCGCACTCTGGCCGAGTTGGTTCGGTCTAGCGGATACCAGTCTTAAAACTTATTCCTAGACCCTGGGGTTCGATTCCCCAAATCGGCACACATTTTTGGCCCAATTCTCTACTCTACCACTGTAGTCACTCATAGCTGGTGCAATTGGTGTTATGATAATTCAATCTCGGCCTCTACGCAACACTCGAGTAGACATTCTTTTATCCACTTAACGGAAGCCACTAGATATTTGTGTACCGAAAATGGCATCCCGTACACTTGCAGTAGGTCTACACTCTGCGGGTCTACGGGTATAGCATCTACCAGTCTACCTGACGACTCTTTATGGAGCCCAATGTCTCTATAAAGTACTCACGCATCGATACTAACGCGAGCTCATCCGCATTCAGCATCATGCAGACCCGGGAGACTCGGATCGCATCAGAGGACATGGCTTAGAGCATTGTAGGTCATCACGAAATGTCATCTACACGGCCAGGTGTGGCCACCATGTGACGGTATAGGCTGACGGCTTATAGATGTAATGCGCGAGGTCTACTCACGCATACTGTGCAGCTTGCCACGAGACTTGCCATGTGAGCTCTTGAAGCATACTACCGCGGCTAAACACTCCGACAATCCTTGGTCGGTGGACGATACCTGGGTTTATAGGCGCACGTGCCGTTAGCATTATCGCTTGACAATCCTCGAGCCAGGATACCGGCTCGAATACATTCAAGTACAAGCTTCCCTCGTGCCCAGCCGTCTTCTACATCGGCTTTTCATTAGTTAGCCAACAGGCTGTCACAGCAAGGTCTGTGTGTGTACCAAATGGGACCCTGGTGACATACATACATGCAGCCTAGTTGGGAGTTGTCAATGGGCACTTGTTGATTCAATTGTGGCTATAGCTTCCAAAGCGAGATCGCCGCATTCGTTTCGCTGCCAGCACGGATTTTGCATCCATCTCGATATCTGACTTCACATACCCAACCTGACAGTGCGTGAGGGTGCTCCTTATTCACCATCTCACCTAAATGTCCTACGAGAACGTCGCTATAGCCGGATTCCCTTCTCAACCATAGCGTCACGAGCCAGCAGGCTGCTAAAGTCAAACTGCATCAACAGTTGCATACATAAAAGACCAGGGGTTCCACCGATCTTCTCGGCTCTATTATCTCGGCCTGCATGCATACTCGATTCCTGCGAGTACGGTCCACCAGGGCCCATCATTCCATCGACCAGTGTTGCGTCGCTGCATAGCATTACGGCACGTGGGCAACTAAAGACCATATCAGTTTTCTAGCCGGTAAGCATCCATCTCACTTGCAGTATTCCATCTAGTCTTGCCTTTCCCTTACGCTACATTGGGCCACCCTAGAGCTCTGCATGAGCTATACCAAGCGTCATAATCCGTACCATCGCCAGGGTGTATTCGCTCCGTCTCCGTATCCCGGTCCCGGAAGTTTACTGACTGTCCTCCGTAATCCTAGATGCTGACCAGCTTTCGTCATTGCCAAAATACCCTCTTAGACCAGGGTCACCATACAAGCTTGTCTCTTCAGTCCCAATTATCGCTTATGGTAACAAGATGACGTCGCTTTGACCGGCTTTCCTTCGGCGAGCAGCCAGGGCGCTTCCAGGCTGGAAAGGCGGATTCACTACTATGCCGTACCATTCTATTCGACGCCAAGAACTGATATTCAGTGACGGGGTTTTCCCCCGTGTCCTGTAACCGTGTAGTTTCCTTTTTCTCATCTACAACCCAGATATCTAGATGGGTAAAGTCGAGCTGCTCTATTCGCTACCGAGGATCGCTGTCCCGTTAGCTCCAACCGCATTGGGAAATACCGGGCCAAGAATTTCTTCCCACTTCGACGTCTACCGCCGGCTAATAAGGGGTTGGGGGGGGGCTTCAGTCCCAGCAAACATGGTGTTTACCAGGAAGTCTTCCATGCTATTTCCTTATCCGGCCGTCTGACGCTCGAGCGGTCGCGAGCTTCCTATTGGCCGGGCGCCTGCCCAAATACGATGCGTGCATTCGCTCGCCGGAAGCAAAGCTTCAACCAAAGCGTCTCGCTCTCTCTTGCGGGACTAGCTCACCCGCGGGTCTTTTGGACAGGACAGCCTGCGGGCGTGTGGATGCGACACAGTGACACTTCCCGAGAATGTTGCGGGTGTGGCATGCCTAAGCGCGCATGTCGGTAAGTGTGTCTGACCGATATGCCCCCCTAAGCGCGTGATAATGCTGTGCGCCGCGAGAACTGTCGTCTCGTCCTTGATACTAGTGTAGATACATCCCGCAGAAGTTACCCAAGGTTAGGAAAACATGTTGCTACATTCAAGTTCGCTACCGAGATCTCCCCCCTCGACGCTCAGCTTCCCCTTGCCTTTCAGGATGGCCTCAAGGTTCTTGATTTCTGTGTTACTCGTAGTACAAACCATCACTCTGATTAGTTCAATTTAGCTTGAATTGGAACAGTCCTAGACGTCATCCCTGAGGCCTATCCCTACGATTCGTAACTCCAGGACTGCTCAAGCAGGCTTTCAATGCCAGTGATTGGCGAGGAGGCTCTGACTAACAGCACAAGGTTTGGCGTATGTAATTGTCGATGTAAGTTGCGATGTACGATCCCGTCTTCATAGCCGTATGACGCCTTGAGTAGATTCTCGGGCGTCCTGTTTCCGGTCTGATGCGTCACATTTTGCTTTCAGGCGCCAGCAGCCTTAACATCCTGGGTCATGGTGATTCAACGGTCAAAGATTGCGAGTCTAGGTATGTGTACTATCTAGCGGTAGAAGGTGGGCGGGAAATTTTGGTCGTAGAGCCGCATCGAATTCGGAAGTGTCCATCGGTAAGCTTGCGAGTGTCTCGTAGAAACTTAGTGCCCGAGGGGTAGAACGAATGTGTCTAGTGTTTGCACAAGCCAACTTGCACGAGGGGAGTATTCTCATCTGTCTTCGGTGGCGAATTAGTTGTCTGCGGACCTCAATGCCTTCATAGTAATACCATTCGTGACCAGGCCGTCTGAGTAGAGCTGATAATCGAAGAGCAAATACCCATTCGTAACTCTTGAATGTGGAGGTATAGTTAGGTACCTACGAACACGTCGCCAACGATACTTAGTCTGTCGAGTCTGAAGTTGAGCTGGACTTGTAATGGAGTCTCAAGCCCCATGCAGAGAGATCGAGCTCGAATGTCTCCAGCACTAATACTATGCATACTGCGGCTCTGACTTCGTGTACGGGGTGTACTGAGCCATCAAAAAACTGGAATGAAAGACTCTAGTGGCTTAGGTAGCTACATTAGTAACGTCGTGCAAGGAATGGATTGAGGAAGATACTTTTATTAAACCTTTCCTTACGACCTAGTGCATCTGCTCTTCCTCCTTACTAATGTTCTACCTAGGCGATCACATCACGGTCCACGCCGAGACAGCTCCGCCGTCGTTGTCCAGTTGTAGGCTTACTTCTCATCGAGAGCTACCGTTCGTCCCCAAACTAGAGAACGCCCAGCCAAAATAGAAGGGCCAGCGCGACAGTCTGGCCAGCCGCCGTCCTTCGTGATGAACCCCAAGGCTGGCGAGATGCTGCCAGACTCCAACTCTCGAGGCTCTCTGTCGCCGTATTCTACGCTGGCAAGCCGCAAGTGCTACCCATGGTCGCCCTCGTGTGGATAGCACCATCGCTCTACCCTTCACGCAGATCCCTAGAGGCTCTTACTACGGAGCTTCGCCACGAGCTCCCCCCTAAAAGACACGAGAACCGAGAATTCGGCTCCGCCAGATTGCGTCTTGTGCTACAAACGACCCCTGGTGCTGCCATTGGGCTAGAGTGGTGCGGATAGCTACCCAAAAGGTCGTCAGCGAGAGAGACGAGCCTTGAATGGGTACCTAGTAGGAATAGGGGTACTACTAGGGCATGATACTTCACTACTGCCAATGTCATGAGAGGAGAGATTCCTTCCTTGTAGGAAAGAGGATTCCTAAATTCATGTGTTTATTGAAAAGTAGCCTCGAATAGTACACTTATTAAAGGCGACTTTCGTCAACACTGAATCTCGAGCTAGAGTATACGAATGTCCAAGTACTCTTTCCTGTCACAACCGTAGCCAAACTAAACTGTTAGTTTTACAACTCATCAACGAGTAATACAAGCATCATATTCATCTCACTCGTCATCATAGACAGAGGGTATATTTGTATAGGTGATTTATTCATTACTGCATTACAGAGCCTATCCCCAAGACTCCTTGAAGCCGATGCCAAACCTGGCATCCACCTTTTCATTCGTTAACATTCATTAACGCCTTCCATTATCCAACAGACACTCTCCTAAACTCATTAAACCTCCTCTTTACGGGCGTGATGCACATGGCTAACGGCGGCCTTATCTGTGAAGCCCATGTCGGCAGCGTATGTGGAGTGCGGCACCCACTTGGCTGAGGTTCGGGGTGTCGTCTCCTCCAGCATACGGTCGACTTGTTCCAGGGTCAATCCCTTGGTCTCGGGGATCAGGAAGTAGGCGTAGATGAAGCACAGGGTGCAGAGACCACCCCAGATGTAGAACACCTTAGCGCCCAAGTTGCCCTTGTCCGTGTCAACCATGTAGGGCGTGATGACGGCGATGATGCAGTTCCACAGCCAGTTGCTGGCGGTCGAGAGGGCGACACCACGGGCACGCATTGGCAGAGGGTAGATTTCTCCGATGACCACCCAGGCACCGGGGCCCCAAGTGCTGGCGAAGAAGAAGATGTAGATGCAGATGAAGGCAATCATGGCCTGGACGGCAGCGGTAGCGCTGGTGATGGTACCGACGATGGCAACGATGAACTGGCAGATGACCATTCCCAGAGCACCCCAGAGGAGCAGAGGTCGACGGCCGATTCTTTCCATCGACCAGAATGAGATGGGCGTAGAGCAGACGTTGACGAGCGTGGTAACCAGAGAGATCAAGAACGGGTTCGAGATGGTACCCAGGTCTTGGAAGAACGTGGTACCGAAGTAGAACACGAAGTTGACACCGGTCCACTGCTGCATCATCTGAAGGGAAGTACCGAGGATGGTACGTCTGAGGTTGCTGCTACCCTCCCAAATAGAGCCGTGGAAG